ATTTACTGATGAAGATCAAAGAGCACAGCCTTCGGTATGGATTACATCTCAATGTCAAGAAAACAAAAATCCTCACCACTGGACCAATAAATATACCTGGTACAATGCTCCATAAAACACAATCACAATGACAACTGCCTGCCAACTAGACAACAGATCAATGTTAATATCACTGTAACCTAAAACTACTGTGGATGTTTTGTTTGGTATGCTAATTTATGGTAATGTAAGAAAAAATCAAACAACTTTTATTTGTTGTTCTTAAGGGATTTTGCCCTTTAGCAATTCATTATAATATGAACCTCATTGCCACCTGGGTATTTGTGGCAATCAGGTGGGGATTTAGAATCTGCCTCCAACACAAATCCTGAAGAGAGGGAAATGGCCAACATACATTAATTATCAGACTGCCAGGAAAAGACTGGAGGGCAACATTATTATTCTTCAGGAGAGGCAAAATGCAAAACAGATTGGACTTTAAAATTTGGTAATTTCATAGTTAAAGTACTAAAGAAGTGCTAATGGCATGAAACAGAAATGAAAAAAAAATTCGAATATGCTAGTAAAGACACTGAAAAAGAAAAAGAAAGCATAAATTCTAGTATTCAGCAGTACTGAGATGAAGAGTACCTACTTCACTGGATCAACTAAGATCATTTCATTAGGGGATGACATTCCTCATTGCACACCCATGGCTAATGTCATTGACTGCTCACAGCAGCACCTTTACTTGTCTTTCCAAACAGAATCCTTCCAAGATATTCACTAGCATAGATTTTATTAGTCACACGTGACAGTGTGGATCAGCAAACATTCATGCTCCTTTCTTCCCTCCCTATATAGAGTATATTTCCTGACATCACTGATGTTGGATTGGCCACATGACTTGCTATGACAAATGGAATGTGGTGTGAACAGATACCATAAATGTGCTTGTGTTATTTGGTTTGACCTGTACAACCTTGCTGTAAACTATGAGACAAGCATATGCCAGGTAGCCACTTCCCATTTAGCCTGGGCCTCGTAACAAAGGTACCTAGAATGCACTTGAACCTGACCTACAGCTTGAGCAGAACTGAGGAATGTACAGATGAATTCTTATTGTTTTACACCACTGAGTTTTAGGATGATCTGTAGGAGCATAATTCTAGCAACAGTTGACTAATTCAGTATATTCCCAAACCAAAAATTATCAATTGCCGTCAAGTGAATTCTGACTCATACTGGCCCTATGTAGGGTTTCCAAATCTTTATGGGATCAGACTGGCTCTAGGACTGTACAAGGAAATACCTGGGATACAGCAAACACATCTTAGTTAGGGGTCAATATAAAGAAGAAATGGAGTCCTGGTGTGGTGCTGTGGGCTAATATGCAGCACTGCAAAGTCAGTTGGAACTGCAAGGTTGGCTGGCTCGTTTAAGCTCACCAATTGTTCTTTGAAAACCCTATAGAGGGTTGCTATGGGTCGGAACCAACTTGATGGCACAAAACAACAACAACATAAAGATGAAATAGCCATAGTGAAAGACAGAATCATTGTTGTTTGTAGCTGTCAAGTTGGTTCTGACTCTCAGTGAACCTAAGTACAATACAGTGAAACATTGCGTGGTCCTTTACCTTCCTCACAATTGTTTTTACGTTTGAAAAAACGGCTGCTTCCACTATGTCAACCAATCTCATGAGGGGTTATCCTCTCTTTTGCTGACCCTCCACTTTACCCAGCATGATGTCCTTCTATAGGGACTGGTCCCTCCTGATAACAAGTCTGAAATATGAGAAACGAAATCTCTACGTCCTTGCTTCTAAGAAGTATTCTGGCAGCCCTTCTTTCAACACAGATTTGTTGGTTCTTCTGGAAGTCCATGGTACTTTTA